ATTTTTGAACTGCTGAATTATCGTTTATGCTAAATAAGATGGAATGAATATATAGGATTCGCATAGCCGATTGAGTAGTATGGGATTGCGGCGGCAACAAACCAAAAGGGCCCAACCTCCAACTAAGTTATTTAAATCACCAAAGGTTTAGTGTCCAAGTTACACAAATATAAAGAAAAATCTTTTTTTTTCCTTGAGTGACAGTGAAGAGTTCATCCATGTAGAGGCAACTAATACAACGTTTGAGCTAAAAGATTAGCCCTTGACACCTTCATTTGAAATTGGACTACATAGGAAAGTGGGCTTGGTCTTCGTTTTTCCTTGTTTGATCGGGCCTTGTACTGGGGCTACCTCTTATATTAGAAACCCCACCAAACAGCACTATTACCTTTAACGATTACTTCAATTTCAATTACGATGATTCTAGAAAATGCTACTAAGCTTGATACAATTTTGCGTATGAGGAGGATTCATCAAAAAACCTTATGCAGTTTTCTGTCATACATAATGAATTCCTTTATGTGGTTCCCTGAACCCTTTTTGTGAATCACTAGCTTCTGACATTCAGTTTTTCCCGTGGGGATTGGATTGGCAGGAATGGCCAGAAGAAGATTATCCACCCTATGCCAATGGCCCTGGTTATATCATCTCATTTGACATTGCAGAGTACATAGTTTCCGAGTTTGAGAAACATAAGCTGAGGGTAAGTTACCTTTTGTAAAATACACCAACGTCTCTCGTTTTTTTCTCTCCCCCCTCCATGTTATATTGCATGACTCCCCATTTTTTGGCACCATCCTATCGAGTGGTGAGGGTTCCTTATGGGAATCCAAACAGGAAAAAGAAATTCATCTAACATATATTTTGACCTGCTGGCAGTTGTTTAAGATGGAAGACGTGAGCATGGGGATGTGGGTAGAGCAGTTCAACAGCTCCAAGCCCGTAGAGTACGTTCATAGCTTGAAGTTTTGTCAGTTTGGATGCATTGATGATTATTACACTGCACATTATCAATCTCCAAGGCAAATGATCTGCCTGTGGAGAAAGTTGCTACTTGGAAAACCTCGGTGCTGTAATGTGAGATGACAAATTGTACCCTTTTAGCTAGTATTAGACATTGTTGAAAAGGAGCTTGTACATATAACGCGAGTAAATTAGCCTTTTAGGCTAATATATTTACATTATTCATTCATTAGTTGCTTCTTTTGTTGGGACACCAACCTTGTTCCTCAGGCTAGTCGACAAGGGAGCTCATGAAACTGTACGAAAAGAATGGCAGCTTAAGCTCTTGTAATGTAGAATTCAAGGGTATAATATCACAATCGGGTTAAGGTTTCATTTTCAATGTCATAGTTGCAATTTGCATTCCTCTATGTGGGTTTTGACAGTTTCCAGAAGCACTTCACCTAGTTGGAGAACATATTATTTTATTTTTAGTTTTTCCTTTTAATTTATACTGCAAGCAGTTTTTTTGCAGATTCGATAGAATTGGGTTCATGTTGCTAGATTAAGAGGAGCTATATTATATCAACATACTTGGAAATGCTGTTCTCATACGTAGTGATAAAGACACATCAAACAGTATTATAAGTCTCTTGTTTAACTGAGCAAAGATCTGGGTGCAGACTGCAGAATTGAATCCTTTAAAGTACTATGTTGCAGTGTTGTCAAGGCGTGCTTAAGCTCTGAAGCGAGGATCAAAATATGTTGAGTGTTTCACCTCGCTTAGCGGGCATTTCAGTGTCATCATCAATGCTCTAAGGCATACTTTTCCTTACCAATGAGTGTAATATATTTTCTTGAACTTGCATATGGTGCTTCTATATACATGCTTAGAAAATAAAAACAACTCTCAAGCAGAAATCAAATCCTTAGCTTTTATGGATGTTGCCTTGTGATCAAGAAAACTGAATGTTACAGTACTGACATAATACAGAGAGCTGCAAGTGAATGTGAAGAGAATATGTGGAAGCATGTCTAAGTGAGTTGATTACTTCTCATGAGCAGAGCAAAATAAAAAGGGATTTTGCTTCGGTTTTTATAACTGGTGTGATTGCTGCTGCCCTTCCCTTTATCTTTCCTAAGTCGAGGGTCTTTCGGAAACAACCTCTCTGACTTCTTGAAGGTAGGGGTAAGGTCTGCGTACATATTACCCTCCCCCAGACCCCACTTATGAGATTATACTAGGTCTTTCTAGAAATCCTTATGAAGATTGTGAATTATCCTTCTATACAAGCAAAGAATGTAAGAAAGCCAAAAGATTAGGCAAGATCTGCATAATCAAGGAATCTTGAAGGAAGAAGGTATGTTGGAGCTTACTTGCAGGGAGGGGAAAGAGGATACACCAATGGGTCCACAAAGTATAAGGGTCCTTGGCCCTAAAACTAAGACATCATTCATGTTTCATAAATGTCCCTCTGAATTAGTGTTCTATCACAAAAACACTAGTGTTATTAGCTCCTGATACATGCTATAGTACTTGAATCTATCTGAAATGGAAGATGAGTGGGTGATCAAGATAAACGATGAGCTGATGCACGTCGAAGATCTTACTAGTGTGGAGGCCGAGCACTGGAGGAAGCGATCCATTTATAGAGTGCCTGTCTGTGTCACAGATATGAACAAGAAAGCTTACAAGCCTCAGGTAGTTTCTTTTGGTCCTTACCATAATGGAGAAGATCATCTCAAGGAAATGGAAGTTCACAAGCACCGAGCTCTTCTTCACTTCCTCAAGCGATCTGGAAAACCTTTAACGTGTTATATTGACTCCTTACAACAAGTAGCTCAAGAGCTGAAAGATTCATATGATTTGCTGGATCCTGCTTGGCAAAATGATACTAATGGCTTCTTGCGCTTGATGATTCTAGATGGCTGCTTCATGTTGGAGATATTGAGAACCGCTGCTGATGATCGTTTACTTATAGATCAATCTCAACATGCTCAGCCACATGACTATGCTCCTAATGATCCTATTTTCAGCAATCATGGAAAGCTCCATCTCATGCCTTATCTCAAGCGCGATATGCTGATGCTCCAAAATCAGTTACCTATGCTCCTTCTAGACAAATTACTCGCTATTGAAAATCAAGAGGCAAAGGTCTCTCTCTCTCTCTCTCTCAAACACGTGCTCGCAATCAAGACCCCCAAATACTCTGATACCATATTGAATTGTATGATCATCTGATACCATACAGATGGTACATTTTTATTTACGTAATTATATCTTTAACAATGATTATTAACCTTCTCTAATTTAATTCCCCTCACAGAGTGATCGGTTACTCCTTGATTGCATTCAGCCGTATGACGAGGAATGTATTAATAAGCTCATATTGGACTTCTGCAATCCTCATACCCGTGCTAAAAGACTTGGTAAGTGTTTGCACATATTGGATGTGTACAGAAAGAGCCTACTTTGGGAAGATCCCATGTTGCTCAAGACTCGTCCAAGAAAAGCACCAAAAATTAGTCACCAGAGTGGTGGCGATGAGATCATCCGCTCTGCCATGGAGCTTAATGAAGCAGGCATTCGGTTTAAGAAGAGTAAAACCGGGAGCCTCAAGGACATCTCCTTTCACGGAGGTATCCTTAAGCTACCTCTGATCGTGGTGGACGATGCTACAGAATCAATGTTCTTAAACCTAATAGCATTTGAGAGATTGCACGTAGGGGCGGGGAATGAGGTAACATCATACATCTTTTTCATGGATAACATTATTGACAATGTCAAAGATGTTAGCTTGCTACACTCTTGTGGCATTATTCAGAATGCAATTGGCAGCGATAACGCTGTAGCCAAGTTATTCAATTCACTATCCAAGGACATCACACTGGATCCAGATAGCAGTCTAGATCTAGTACACAAGCTGGTGAGCGATTACTGCAAGTATCCGTGGAATGAATGGCGAGCTAATCTCATTCACACATACTTCAGGAGTCCCTGGGCCATTTTATCTGTTGTTGCTGCTATTTTTCTTTTCGCCCTCACCATTGTTTCGACAGTATACGGGGTATATAGTTACTATTATCCCCATTCCTAAGAACAATCTGAATATTAAAAGACAATCTCCCTTCTCTATTTGAGAACTGCAACTAGCATCTCAGACCAAATTTTGGAGAATTATTTCTTTATCACTTCTGGTATATCTTATTTTTAATTCAATTTGAATGCTCAAGTCTTTAAATACGTACTCCTTTCCAAGCTCTGTCACATATCTGGCCAAGTCTCATGTCCAGTATGATAATGTGTTCTCCCAAAAGTAATGTAAAATTTTGTATTTGCATTAAGAAATTCATTGAATATGTTTAAATATTTAATTACGAATCCAATAACTAAGACGAGTTATGGGTTCTGTGACCACTTGAGAACCCACAAATTTCAAATCCAGGCTTTGCTAACATACAGTGAATCTCCAAATAACTCCATGTATCTTGGTGATGGGTTTTATGGTACTTAAGTTCGATTTGCCCACAAAGAATTACATATAAAGTGTAGGGACACTCCTAATGTGATATCTTTCGGGGGGAAATCGTTGCGAGCTTGCTTCAAATCGGACAATATTACATTATATTAACAGTTTCTCCTTAGCACACAAATTTATGCTACAGGAAGTCTTTTGCGGATTCTACAGATTTAGGTTCACGCTACTAGATTGAGAGCTTGCTGTAAATGGTGTTTCCATATGCAGTACTAAAGAAACATGATCCAACAGAATGGCTTTTTAATCGAATCCTTTTAAAGTACGCGTACTTTGTCACCTTATGATCAACTACGTACTGATATAAAAATTTGAGGCGATAAGCATATAGAAAAGTGCTAGTGATTTCTTACCAGAAAGGAAATGGAAAAAGTAAAGAAATTCAACCAATTTTGTGTGGTTTCTTAAAGAAGGTAATAAATACTGACTATTAAACAAGTTATCAATATATTTTGTGGTGATTTCTATATGCATATTAAAGAAACAAGTCTTTTTGTTCTTATGGCTCTTTTATATATCTTAGCTGAGAAAAGCTCCAATTAAGGAATCAGATTCTTTAAGCTTTTGTAATTGATGTTGGCTTGTGAACAAGAATGTTGCATTACGTGATCGGGGGGGGGGGGGGGGTGGGTACAACTAAGAGCTAATACTCCTACTAGTTTAGTTTAGTAGTTAG